AAATCCATCAAAGACAACGACGTTCTAAGATACATGATGCCAATTGTCGTCTAATAAGCGGAATATCTTTACAAGAGAACCTGAAAGGCGGTTGATCACCACGTTGCAACAACGTCGCAAACAGCAACATGAACACCCCGCAACTAGCTTCATCTACTTGTCTCGGAACTCCATCCACCACAACATTTTTCGCTATCGACTTTCAATTCCTACCCGACCGCCTATGTGATGTTTGACGTTCCCAATATTGTACAATCAACTCGAAAACACTAATGTAAAAACTCGAATCAGCTACAACGCGAGGAAAATAATCAAAAATTTCGAGAACATCATCTCTCAAGTTGACGGAAAGGAGGATCCAGTTTGTGAACAGGAACGAAGATAATATCGTATTGAAGCAAATCTACATTTTAAGCCCACCTCTGGACCCCACCGTGTCCTTGAAGTTGCAGTTTACTGAAGAATAACGAATTAAAGTTAAAGACTTGAAGGACTGACGAGATGTCACGTGACCCACATGCGGTCGACCCCAACAACGCCATATAGAAATTGATCACCTCATTATTCACCCTGCCATCGATATGCAACAGGTTAAGGAGATATTTTGCTGCAATTCGAAATTGACCATCGGCCAGGATAAAGAGAACAGTGTGAGGTGGCACCGAGCCTTGTTTAATGTCGTCCAAAACCCGCAAGCTTCGAGGCGCAGTCGCTGCAGCGAATCTTTTCCCGCGTGTTCCACGTGTTGTGACCTGCACTGCACAACATCGAGCAAAGCACATGTGAGGTAGTGAGAAACGGAGTTCTAGGCATTGTCCCCCGTTGCATGACGCGTTGCTAAGTATTTCTCATACATGGCCTGACCCCTACTCACAGATCGTGGATATGTCCCTTTCTCTGGGGCAAGATCCCGACGGACTAAAACCGACACTATTTCCGATAAGGAAAAACCGTCAATCCATTTACTTGGTCATTTTCTTGGCCAGGGAGACTTTTGCGAGGGAATGCGTTAATAAAAACACACTTCACAGAATGATAGATCCTTCCTTAGATGGAGTGTTATGTTTTCGATGAAGTTTTCGCTGCCCACGACTAGCAACCCGGCTGACTCACAGAAAAGCCGATGAGATGTAGTTGGAAGGACTGGTGGCTGGAGTATGTCGGCATCCGGAACTTCCCGTATCAACAGATAGTGTGGACAGTTGTCGTGTGTATGGCGCGGACTGTAGTCCGCCGACATCTGGACTATGAAGGAATCCCCTCTCTCGTTTTCGTAATCCTGGGCGCGCAGGCAGTGTGGCGTTCTTCACATCTTACCAGTCGGTTTGTCTCTCCGTTCCTTAATCGGTGAAGTTGGCGCGGGCAAAGTGAGCACGAGATCTTGACTGTCGAACCTAGATTTTTTAGGGGACGTGACATGTTGTCGTCCCCTGACCTCGCCTTCCCCTCCGCCGGCGAGGGTGGTCGGCAGTACCGGAGAGTTCGGCGGCGAGGAAGCGAGGGCATCTGCCAAGGAAGATGTGACGTTGCCAGCCTCGTCGGCGTCAGGCGTTGTGGACGGATGCGCGGACACGTGGTGGTCGTCGAGGATACCGTCGATAACTTCGTCGATGCTTATACGACGACTTGCTTTAGACGGGCTCATAGCAACGGAAGCCTCGTCGAACCGGTGTTGCAAATCGACGGCAGACGTTAGTGGTTGGACCTCATAGTCTTCAGGCTCTACAGAAAGGTTGCTAACCACTTGTGTCTCCATCTCCATTGTCGTGGCATCGTCGTCGACATCATCCTCGTGATGCTCTCCGTACAGTTGTCCGAACTCGTCAGACGACTTCCCAGATTCGGCATCGTCCTCACTGTCCTCCCCCTCGTCGTCTCCAATACTCACGTCCCCTTTCGCACCCTCTCTTCCTTCAAGCAATTCAATGAGCACCGTTTCTCCCCCTTCCTCCCCTTCCTCCCCTTCTTCCCCTTCTTCCTCCCCTTCTTGCGCTTCCTTCCCTTCCTCCATTTCCTCCCCTACTTCCCTTCCATGCAATTCAGCCCCTTCCCCAGTACCCGTGTTGAATCCCGAGGACCGCCCTTCTGTCTCCGTGCATGCTGTCCCTCTCGGCGGCACGACAATCCCTAGCCGACACCCTCCGCCTGAAGAAGTTCGGATCTTGGCAGACTCCGTCATCTCCGTGTCACCAGACCCTGCACTTGTAGCCTCTCACTGCAATCCTAGCGGTCGTCGCTCCCGCTCAGGCGACGCATTTCCATGCCTCACCGCAGCGCTGCCAATTGTGGGATCTTGGTTCGGCTCCCCCTACCCCGAGCGGCTCTGCAGGGCGGACCGCTCTGGCGGCTCCTCAACCGACGTAGTTCGGATCCCGGCGGACTTCAACGTTCCGCCGGAGCGGCTGCCAACGTCTCCCTCGCTGAGCCCACGGATGAAGTCGAGAGGTCGGCGGACTGTGTCGTATGTTCCGAACAGGGGCCAGTAGACGGATGTCGATCGACGGGAAAACCCGCCACCCCACCGCTGCCTCCCGGTGTCGTGGTGTCATCGTGAGACCCTCCCTCCCCACTAGACGGGATTCCTTTTCCACCCCCCACACTACCACCCCCGTCCCCTCCACCTCCAGGTGCCCCCCCCCCCCGGAACTCCCGTGCGGCCCACAGGGAGGGGGCACTTTCTAGTCCACCACGCCCTTCGACGGGCTCGTGTCGAGCTCGTAGTAGTCCTCCGTCATTTCCAACCAGCACTTGTCCTGAAGCTCGTCGAACAGTTGCCCGACTGTGGAAACGACGGACAGGTCGTCGGGTGCAAACGTGTCATTTTCGGCCCTCACTTTTTGGAGGACCGAAATTCTCGCGAGGTGCAGGACGTTGGACTTCGACTCGCGCGGGATTGACACCCATCCCGCGCCCGGGACTGCGACGACCATGACCCACTCGCCCTTTTGTATCGCTGGCTGGATGACTGTTGGATGCCAAATCATGTCATGGCCCTTGTCCACCTCAGGCGAATGACTTCGTGGCTCAAGCAGGAAGTGGATGTTGTCATCCTTCCAAGACGGATGATCGGGTGGAACGTCGGACCCTGGACGCAATGCGTGCGGGGGGACGGCCAGAGCTTTGAGTCTCTCCAGCAACTTCATCGGCGTAGTGCCTGGCGCCGGTCTGGCCGTCAGTGACACGAGGGGTGTCGCGCTTGATGACGGACCGACCGACAAGGACCCTTGGCCGTGCTCCGCCGGAGGTGGGTCATACTGCAGGTCAAGGCTCTCAGTGTCGTTGGACACCACGTCTGAAGATAGGAATTCAAAGTCTCGAACGCTGGCGGTTTCCACAGCTTGAGGTCAACCGGCTCACATAGATCGAGGACGAACGTGTGGCACTTTGTGGCAGTCACTACTTCCTTCAGCTCTGCACTCCTAATGTCCGCCTCCAAAGGGCCCTGGACCTAATAGCTGTGAGTATTCAATCCTACTGGTATTCGTAGACCATTTCTCGAAATGGATCGAGGTATATCCGTGTCGTACGCGACAGATAGCTGAAATCGCGCAATACGTCAATCGTTTTTTAGGAATGCATCAGGACACGGAGGAGATCCTGACCGATAATGGGGTAGAATTCAGAGGGGAAGTTTTGAGGAATGTGGTCATACACAGCGTCGCCATTCGGAATACTGCACCCCACATGTTACAATCTAACGGGTTGGTTGAGAACGCCAATAGGGTGATTAAGACTGCACTGCGACGAAACATCGCGGCACGGGATCCGAGACCCTGGCCCGACATCGTGGATCACATCCTGGCAGTCCATCGGGGGACGCCTCACGAATCGACAGGCCTGAGCCACTTTCAGTTACGGACCAATAGTGTGGCTTGCGTTTCAATATCGAGCCTCCCAGACGAATCTTGGTTGAACCGACGGCCCACGAGGGCCATGGTTCGAGACAAGGCCAAGCGGCACCTAGAGCTGATGGAGCGGTCCCTTCCCCGATTAGCCCGAAAACGCCAGAAAGAGACTGAGTTGGCCCACAGCCGACAAGTCCGCAGTTATGAGGCCCGGAATGGGAATGGGGGACCACGGCCCCAGTATAAATTAGGGGACATCGTGCAGGTGAGGAAATGTGCTCGCCAGGGTAAGCTAGCGCCACGATTCTTCGGGCGTTTTCGCATAGTCGAGCTCGGTCCGAACGGAGTGAACACGGTGCGGCTCGTGCCTGAGGTCTCCGGCAGCCAATCTGCCCGCCCGATCACTCGCCACGTGTCCTATCTGCGCTCTCTCCCTTCCTCTCCATCTCCACCTTCGTCCGCGCCCTCCTCCAGTACGGAAGCGGACGACGCCTGCTTATCGCCCTCTCCTCCTCTGTCTCGCTCCCCTTCTGATACTCTGTTCCCGTCGCCATCACCATGAGTTTTTCTCTCGAGCAGGTTCTTGGCAAGCACATGCTGGCACCACGTGGTGATATTTCGGCAATCAGACAAGTCCATCATCCACGGATCAGTCCGGATTCTCTCCGATTTGCGCAGTTCTTCAGCACCACTGGGGTGTATGAGGCGGCAGAGTTTCGTTTTGCGGCGCATAGTCGGACACTCGTGTTGGCCGAGGCATCGTCTTATCGACGACTTTCGGCGCCAGGGGTCAGCCACGTGTCTACCGTCGGCGTCTTCAGCGGGGATATCAGCGCGCTAGATCCTACAAGGCATACGGCCATCCAGACATCGCTAAGGAAGTGGGGTGAGCAGTTAGCACAGGAGTGGAGCCGGTGGCTTGCGCGGCACGGCGACAACCTCATCGTCACTGACAGCATTGACGTCGGCGGGCTCTGCACATCCCAACACGAGCCAGCAGTAGCACTCCCAGAACTCGTCCCCTTTCTGCGCCCTCAATGAACCGATCCCAGTTCTCAACCTTTTCCGTCCCCTCTCGCTTCCCCACTTTCTGGCAGTCTGCTCTCCATCCCCGTCTTTCTTTCTGTATCCAGCCACTCGTCGTTCCCCTCATCAAGCCAAGACACTGGGAAATTTGGTGTGAGCACTACCTCACTCTTTCGCTATGCCTGGTCGAAGTGAAATTTACGTGGACACGGGACAGTGAGCATCGTGCCGCGAGGGAGAGCGTGGAGTTGCTAATCATCTAGGCCTGGAGAACAGAGGTGGAAGGAGATCTCCTCGGATTCGTTTTCGGAGCGGTAGAGCCAGGCCATCCACTGACGATCGTGTGGGAACTCACGATCCCCTTTGCGCAGCTGGTCGACGACCTCCCCCTCGACATCATATCGCAGTGTGACAAGAGCTCAGTGCCGCACGTTCTTTCACGAAGATTAACGTCGTACTTTCAGTGGTCAGCCTGCTTAGAGGATCGAACGGGAGGTGGAAACTACCCATTGTGTGCAGAGTACCTTAACCCCCGGAAGATCATCAACGTCCTTTTCTTTCAGCCTCGAACAACGGGAGAAGAGGAAGCAGTGCCAGAGGAAGGGGAGGTGGAAGACGAAAGCAAAGAAGAAACCTCGGAGGAAGAAGGAAGTTGCAGTTAGTACAGCGAGGAAGAACCGGGGGCAGAGAGTGAAGAAGAAGAAGAAGATCAGGAGGAGGAAGATGAAGGATCTGAGTGGGAGACTCTGGGTGAGGAGGCGGATCGCGCAAAAGCTCAGGAGGAGGATCCCAAGGCGGCAGCACGACGGAGAGAGGAGATCGCGGTCGGGAAGCAGCCGCTGGAGTACGCGAGTGGTGCGGATCTGCTGATCCAAAACGACCCGACCAAGGATCCGGAGCCACCCAAGGACAACGATGGGGACCCTGCTGCCGAGACTTCGAGCGCACCGGCGTGCAGGCGACGGAGCCGATCCCCCTCCCCATCTCTTTGTCCCCCAGTTCGAACGTGTGTCGATGCGGGGCATCGGGCTTCGTCCCCGGTCGTTATCCCGTCGTCCTCTTTATTACCTCAACCTCCGCCAGATCACCACCCCGATCTCCTTTCCCCACAACCCCTTCCCCACCGACACCTTCCGTCACTTCTACGCTACCCGCCTCGCTGTCACAGTACACCCGCACCCTTCTACTCGGTGCACCACCCTTGTTTTTTGCCTCCATGTCCTTCTCTTCAATGTCGCGTGGCGAGGCCACAACATGATCGAGGTCTACTGCATGAGCACGGGGACTATCCCCGCATGCGAAAATCACGATCGATTCTGGACGGCCCTCCTCCGCACCTTCGCAACCCTCTACCCAGACTATCTCGTGCCTCTCCCCCAAAGTGGTACCCGATTCCCTCGCTTTCATTGGATCGTCCGATATGAGGAGCTTCCGGTGACAAGTGCGGGAATGGAAAGCTTCCTACCCCCGCTCCCGACCGACCCACCCCCTCGACACGCCCCCATGTATCGCCTTCCCTTTCCTCTCCCTGCTAGTTACTGATGCGTGATTGCATGACACGTGTCACAAAGATGGCACGAGCGATCCCCTCTTATGAATAGGGGCCCTTCCTGGGGAACTTGTAGGATAGAGCCACGTACGCCACACTAAATGACTTACACACTCTTTCACACGGTAAGTGGCACGTAGAAAGCTCCGCGTTGTCGATCGCTTAGAAAGATCAACACGTGTCGTAATGTCAAGCAAGTGGGAGCTTGCTTAAAATTGGAACCCCCAGGTCGTCACATATGTGACGAACCACTTTCGGTGCCGCGCGACTTTCTGCGCGATGACAATGAGGGGTCCTCAGATGGGAAGAAGGGATTGACGGGAAATTGCATCGGTGTCCTTGTTTGTTCCTCTTTTTACGTCGCTTCCTTTCGGATGGCTGGGGCCAGGGCTGGGCAAGTCCCGGGATGGTTAATTGAGTGGCTGGCGCGCCGACAGAGGCGCGATTAATAGTGTTTGACGTCGCTTCTTTCTCGTTCTGTTGTCGGTTTTTTGGCGCGGTGATCGCGCGGGAAGTTTTGCTTATTTTTTTAATCTTGTCGAGCCCTCGATGGCTCTCAGAATTTCAGATTTTCGTTTCGGGATTTGTGCTTTATTAAAGTTTTTTTGCATTTTTGCATTAAATAGGAATTTAGGAATTTAGGAATTTAGGAATTCGGAATTTCTTTTGCCGCGCGGTGCTTTTCGCTCACTCGCTTCATTTTGCGGCTGCAACGAAGCTCTGATAGTCGACGCCCTTAATCTTGTGTGTAACTGTAATTTTGGGCAGGGCGCCTTTGTAACTGTATCCTTCTTCTTGAGCTTCGTCATTCCCGCCC